TGTGTGTTTTCCATGCCACCCTGACCCCTGCCTGTTCATCTTCCCTGGTCCTTGAGGGGACTGCCTGTTGTCTGCAAGGCTTTGAGACGCCACCTGCTCAGTTAGACTAACTTTACTTTTATTTGGTGTGTTGGGCCTAAGTGTGAAAAAGGTATTATGGGAACATAGCATTATAACAAACTCCCCCCCCCCAAAAAAAAATCAGTGCATAAAATTTTTCCCCCATCATCACAAAATACAGATTCAGATATAAGAAAGTTGGGGAATAACAGTCTAGCAGCGGTTCTCAACCTTCCCAATGCCGTGACCCCTTAATACATAGTTCCTCATGTTGTGGTGACCTCCAACCATAAAATTATTTTCGTTGCTATTCTATAACTGTAATTTTGCTACTGTTATGAATCGTAATATAAATATCTTTTTGTTTTCCGATGGTCTTAGGCGACCCCTGTGAAAGGGTCCTTGGACCCCCAAAGGGGTTGCGACCCACAGGTTGAGAACCGCTGACTAGAGAAAGAAAAAGAGATACATTTTGACCCTACCATCCAGAGAGAGAATTTCTGTTACTATGTGTGCTAATGAATGTTCCCGTTTTGCTTGGTATCTGACTCTGCAGTCAGCGTTTTCACATTAACTTACACAGATCCATGGACTTGCACTCCTCAAACCTTGCCCTTATTGCCCAGTGGCCGACAAGCCATGTGCTACGATTGTCCCTACCAGGGCACATGGGACCAGCTGAAACTGCCAGCACCCTCCTGCCACACAGGATGGGACTCTATGTAATTTATGGCATTGAGAGCAGATTGTAGAGATGATAATTTTTCTTGCCCTTTTGGTCAATCTTACAGCATACGCGTTTTCCATTGAAACCGCTTCTTAAACAACAGTTTGAGTGGCCTACCTATATGTACAAAATAGTTTAAGGAATAAAACAGATACAGTCGAAGCCCCTAGCATGCCTCCCCCACCCCAGAGGTAACCACAGTCTTGAATTTGGTGTTTACAATGCCCATATGTATCATTATGTCCATTTTCACTTCTACAAAAAGTATTGTATGACCTATTGAGCTGTAGAAACTGTGTGTGAAAGGTATCATGTAAGTTATGTTCTTCCAGGGGAAAGTTTTTGAACATGACTCACCTCCCACCCCACCCCACCAGTCCAGTCTTGAATGCCTCCTTTCTTTTCTGCCTGTGTTGTAGGTGCTGTTTAACCAGTTCAAGTACTTTTTCAACCTCTATTTCTTACTTCTCGCCTGCTCCCAGTTTGTTCCGGAAATGAGACTTGGAGCACTCTATACCTACTGGGTTCCGCTGGTAAGTAAGTAAATTGGCATTCTGTGACCTCAGAGGTTGGGACCAGACGGTCCTTTGTCTCTGTCACCCGAGCATCTGGAATGGGAGAGAGTAGCCTGTTAAGGGAGAGGACACCCTCAAGCCAGCACATGGGGAGTCCCGAAGATTGTAAGGTTAAGCTGCATTTCATACATCGCCAGGATCCAATTATGTAAAAAGCCTGGACCATTCCATCATTCGGTCGGTCAGCTCAGGTCATTCAGTCGTTCAGCAACTATTGTTGCGTGCTTACTGTGCGTCACCTGCTTCTAGATTCTGGGGACACGGTGACAAGTGAGGAAGCCAAGGGCTGTGTCTTTGTGGATTGTGCTATTTTAATTGTTTTTCTGAGATCACGTTTTCTCTTTACTCCGTGTAGAGTATTTCAACAAGAGGAGTTGAAAAGGAAACAGAGTCTGTGCTTTAGTGTGTCCGAAGCATCACAGAGCTGACCAGAATACCCCTCCATTCCTTCCTTTGCCACCTCCTCTTTCTCCTTTCCCTTTGGCACATGGTCATTGAGTACCTACTGTGTGCCCGGTACTGTGCTCGGTGCTCATTGTGCAGTAACGAACGAAACAGATACAGATTCCTGCCCCTGTGGGGTTGATTTTCAGCGGGGATAGTAAACAGGTTAATCAAATTGTTTCAGATCATGAAAAGTGCTGTGATGGTAGCAGAGTAAGGTCTTAGTACAGATGGGGTATTGCAGACGCCTTGAGTGTTTGTTGAATGGATGAAGGTGGGGGCTGGGAGATTTGGGGGGACAGCCTGAGCTAGGGTGGCCATGCAAGACCCCTTGAGGAGGTAATGGAGGGGGTAGGAGGGGGGGAGTATTCCAGGCACAGGCAGCAGCTGTGCAAATGCCTTGTGGTGGGCACGTCAGAGCATTTGAAGAACAGAAGCCCAGCCTGACTGGGGTGTGGAGAGGGCAGAACGGGTATCTCCTTTTCTCCCGACAGACATTATGAAGTCTAACTGCTGCTCGTTTCTCATTAATTAAGTCAGACTCAGGGGGGGTCATTTGGATTCTCTGTTCATAAATACAGTTAAAGTTTTAGTCTGGAGAAGATTGTTACAGATTGAGGCCCTCCTTCAAGAAACAAAAGCAAAAGCTTTTATTGGCGGTCGGTGGGAGATGATAAGGGTCTGGTGCATGGGCCTTTATGGAGTAGAGGGAGTCAGTTGCTAAGGGAGCTGTGAGTGGGTGTCCATACACTGTGATTTCCATATTATTAGATAAGTCATTTCAGCAGCACTAGTCCTGAGAAGAGATGGGGTTTTTTATTTCTTCTACACAAGCATTGAAGGCGCTTTTGGAAAACGAGGCTAGTTCTTCCCTGCTCTGAGTCATTTGTGGGTGAGCTAGGATGCTGGGAGCTGGATCGAACCTTTGGTGAGCACCCTTCCTGTAGATAACAGACATTCTTTCTGTGAGCTTACACTCTTAGATACTGAATGTTGCAAACTCGAGGCTGGGCTGATGGAATCCAGCCTTGGGAGAACTGGGGAGCCTGTGTCCCATCCAAAAGGGGAAGGTGTCACTCCATGCCAACAGGTGCAATCATGAACGTGGAGTTGCCAGACCCAAGAGTCAGGGACTTTACAGTTTTACATGGAATACCTTTATTTTAGTTTTTTAGTTCCACAGTTGTTCACTACATACTTACATGAGGTCAAGACGTAAGTTACTTATTTAAAAAAAAGTTAGTCTATATTGTATATAAAATAACATTTATCATACTGCCTTTTTTTTTTTAAAGGCTATCACTTTTTAAAACATTTTTATTTATTTTACTGGGGAACAGTGTGTTTTTCCAGGTCCCATCAGCTCCAAGTCAAGTCATTGTTTCAATCCAGTTGTAGAGGGCGCAGCTCTGTGGCCCATGTGGGGATCGAACCAACAACCTTGGTGTGATGAGCACTGGGCTCTAAGCAGCTGAACTAACCAGCCACCCCCACGCTGCCTTTTATTGATCACCTTTTTAAAGTATAATAATCTGAAAGGTAATACATTTACATGATTCAAGAAACAAAAAAATGGCCCTAGTAAAAAATCCCGCTCCCGTCCAGTTCTGCTCCCAAAACAGTCATTTGTTTCTTGTTTATCGTTCCTGACTTTATGAACAACAAGCACAATGAATAAAAATTCTTTTCTTTCCCTTCTTCCCGACACTTCTTTTCAGAAAAAAAGTACCAAGGTATACGCTGTTCTCAATAATCTTTCTTTCTAATTTCCATTGATTTTGCTTTGTTCCAAGTTGACAACTCATTTAAAAAATGTTCAAGCACTGTGTGAATGGAACACACCCCTTCTCCTGGGGTCTGTCTGTAGGCAGCCAGTCTGCAGTCTCTGCTCGAAGCTGTCGGGGTCCTTTGGCGCCTCATGTTGGTGACTGGACCCCCCTCTGGGAGCATGGAAGGCTCTAGACCCAGATCTGCTGCCCTTTACTGCCTCAAAGGTGGCTTCTCTTTATTTTTCTTTTCCTTGTTTAATTACAAAGAGGCTCATGATTATTGGAGAAAAATGTGAAGAACAACCAAAAAAACAAAACCAAAACTAAAACCCCAAACCGCCTGTGTAGTCATTTCTGAGATACCCCATTTATGTTTCTGGTCAATAAAGTCTCTTCTTGCGTGGATCACTGTTTCATATACATTCTAATATATACTGTATTAAGTTATATACATTACGTAAACACATACGTTTTATAAATTGAGACCCCAAGCTGTCCACAAAAGCAGCTGTGTGCCTCCCTCTTTCCGCGCCTTTTGCCTCTCATGCATGATATCTGCTGTGCTCTCTCCCTTCCTGGTATCCATCTGCCCAGCCTGCAGCATAAACCCATCAACCAGAAGGTTCTTGGGGTACAGACCTGTTGGCATCCCTGCAACACCGTTTCCATTGTCATTGGGCGTCTGTGGTGGGGAGGGGTCTTTAGCTACATTTGGCATAAGTTTTTCATTCTCTTAACTGAGATTCGTGTATTGGGATGTCGGAAAAGTCATGACGTATTTTGTCTATGTTTTTCAAAGGTCATTTATTTATATAAAGAACAAAGATCAATTGATATATTGCCCTTTTTTTTTTTTAAGATTTTTTATTGGGGAATCGGAAGGGGAACAGACAAGTTGCTGCCGTTTTGTTCTTCAGTCTAGTTGTGGAGGACGTTGCTTCACTGGCCCAAGTTGGCATCATCATTGTGTTCTTCCCAGGCGAGGCAGATCAGTCGCCGGCTTCTGGACGGCCGCTCACAGCGGCTGTTGGCCGCTCACACTGGCTGCTGGCTACACATGGTAGCCCATGGCAACCCACTACCACAGGGGCTGCAGCCTACGCTGTCGCCAGCGACTCACGGCAGCCCAGCTCCAGGTTGAGCTGTTGTTCAGCATCTTAGCTGTGGAGGGCAGTGTCACTGGCCCTCATATGTGGGATCCGAACAGGGGCCCTCTGGCATCCCAAGCCAGCTCTTAACCATCGCGCCACTCGGCTGGCCCTATACTGCGCGTTTTGTTCGATAACCTTTTGCCATCTTTCAGTGAGCTTCATAATTCCTTGTTTATAGAAGGACCTGTCTTTGTGGAAAACAGAACAAAGTGCTGATTCACAGCCTCATCTGAATTAAACGTTACACCACGCAAGGAGTTTTGAAGAGAGTGAAACAAGTGGAAGTCTGACAGTGCAAGGTCAGGCGAGTATGGTGGGTGTGGCAATACAGCCCATCCAAGCTCCAGTAATTTCTGACGGGTGATCAAACTGGTTTGTGGTCTCGCGTTGTCATGATGGAACACAACTCCTTTATAATTAATAAGCTCTGGACGTTTCTGGATGATGGATTCGTTCAAACTGTCCAATTGCCGACAGTACACATTCGAATTGATTGTTTGGTTCCTTGGTAGGAGCTCGAAAAACATGACACCTTTAAAATTTCACCACACTGAAAGCATAACCTTCCTCTGATAAATGTCTGCTTTCGATGTCATTTGAGGTGAATCATCACATCGGGACCAAGATCGCTTGTGCACCACATTGTTGTAAACAATCCACTTTTCTTTTATTTTTTTATTTTTATTTTTTCAGCTGAGCCATCCTGCCACCTGTTGGCAGCTCAGTGGCAACTCAGCTCTGGCCGGGAATCGAACCGCTGTTGCTCAGAGCTCAAGCTCTTGAGCGAGCTCGTAACCAACTGAGCCACTCGGCCGGTGCAACAATCTACTTTTCATCACCAGTTATCAGTCGCTTCAAAAAAGGATCGTTTTCCTCACGTTTAATGAGCATATTGCAGATGTTTATATACACCATCAAATGAACTTCTTTGAGTTCATGCGGAACCCAAATATTGAGCTTGCTTACGTATCCCAGCTTCTTCAGGTGGTCATGAATGCTTGAATGATGGATGTTCAATGTTCCTGCAATCTCGTGTCGTGTAACATGGGTTTGACTCAATCAATTCCTTTATTTTGTCATCATCAACCTCAGTGGGCCTCCCTGACCGAGGAGCGTCGTTGAGATAAAAATCACCAGCACGGAATTTCATGAACCATCGTTGGCACTGACATTCTTGTAGAGCATTGTCAATGTAAACTTTATGCAACTTTTCACAAGCTTGACGTGCGTTCTTCACTTTATAGAAGTAAAACAGTAAAACATGACAGAAACGCAGTTTGGTCTTCCATCTTCAACTTGTTGTAAAATCTCCAAAACTCCACCAAATCGCTCAATTTTTTTTTTCAGAATGAAGCTAGAACTGTCAGCTGTCAAATGACATAGCAATAACATAGATGCGAATGACTCTAGTACTTCCAAAAACGAACTAGTGCCATCTGTTGCAAACATGCGTCATGACTTTTCCGACAACCCAATAGTTATGACTAAGGGGAGATGAATTAGGCAGGGATTTACAAGCCTGAGAAAGTTGGGTAGGAAATGAGATCAGCTCTGTTGAATTCTTCCAAAGGCGGTGACTGGAGGGTCCTGTGGACTGGAGGCAAAACGTGGCCTGGTCGGGAAAGGATTCCTCACTTGCTGAGCGAGAACATGGAGCCCAGGAGACTAAGGAAGGGGCTTGAGATCACACGAGGATATGGAGTGTGTTGGTCTCACACACACGGAGACTCACTCTCTTCAAGGAGTGTCCTCGGACTCTCAGAAGGGCTTTGGGGTGTATGTGTGCAGCGTCATGGGTACAGGGATAGTCTGCAGCGTGGCATGTATTAGTAAAACATTGGAAGTAAACAGACGCCTGGCAGCAGTTATGTAAATGCTGGTGCAGTGAGACCCTGGAATGTTGCACAGGAGTGAGATACAGTGAAGCCGTTCCACTGATTTCGATATGGGAAGGTGTGAATCATGGTTTTCTTTACGTGAAGAAAGTAAGTTGCAAAACAACACGGACAGTATGCTCCAATTTTTATGACCCTCTCCCTCCACCCCAAACAAATATTTCTACCCACTTAGGTCCGGATGGCTCTTCACCAAAGCCAGTGGTTGTCTTTGGAGCTGGGAGCTGCATTTTATTCTTGTGTTTTTTGATCAGACTGTACCGAGGCTTCAGTCTTAAGTCACCTCGGTACCTTCCTGGAAGTTGGAGGGTTACAGGAAACTAAATGGATCAGATATGTGTTGAAGGGTGTGTGAAACCCTTTAGGACAGAGTTGCTCCTTACGGCAGGGGGAGGCCAGATTGGTACTTGGGTTGGTGACCTAGGATCACAGTGTGGCAGGCTACTTGATTGCAAGAATTCCCTCTTCCGTAACTAGTGTTCTTCAATCCTCACCTGTGATGGCTGACGCCTGTGTCTGCAACAGCCCCCCTGGGAACACAGTGGGGTGAAGCAGGGGGCCTGGAGGAGTGGTGGCAACTCCCAATGACCTGCAGGGCTCCTACCATTCCAAAGAGGGTCCAACCCCAGGTCCAGCCCTTATCTCCTCGCTGAAATGTCGCTAGGATTTTCCAGGAGAAGCCAGAAGGCCTGGCTTGCAGTGGAAACCGTTGACTCGCCTGGTTTTCCTGGGACTGTGGCTGCAGATAGAAGCCAGGCAGTCCTGAGGTGACCGTGTGCATCACAGCCTCTTTTCTAGCCGGCTTCCCCTGGGACGGTTCCAGAACCAGAGGGGATGTTTGTCTCGGAGTAGATCTGCCTCTCTTTCCAGAGACGACAGAGAGGGGAGCTTGGGGTCAAAGGTGAATTAGACGGCATCTGTTTCTAGATGACTGTAGTGGATTCCCCCCGGACCCCCTAGATTTTTATGTGGAGAATCAATTTCTGGTTCTTGGCTAGAACAGAGTTTGAAATGTCTCTGCTCACTCTGGAAGTCCTCTCATTTCAAACCCAGCCATAAGCGAGTGGCTCCAAGTGAGGGCTGTGGAGCTAAAAGGTTTTGGTGCAGCTCTTGGCTGTTCTTTGGTCGTGTCATGTAAACAGGCTTTTCTGAGCCTCCGTTTCCTCACCTGTAAAATATGGGCCAGGGTGTCTTGTCTTGGCTTGTTGGGAGGATTCAATGAAGGACTGCACGTGAAATGCTTGCAGTATAGCCCCTGACGTAGATAAAGTTCCCAAGAAATGGTCTCATTTTAATTTTTACATCCTGGCCTTGTTCATTGTCTGGATTAAGTTTTAGTTTTTACTAGCTTTTTTTCTTGGTACTACTCTATTAGAGGGAGAAATTGTACAGGAGGTAGCTGAAATAACCCATAAAATTGTATGAAGACCAAATAATAAATCTGGATTTTTTTGTTGTTATTAAGATATAAACTATACACCATAAAATGTGCAGATATGAAGTTTTCAGCTCCGAAAGCGTTGACATTCGTCCACACCCATGTAAACTCCACCTCAGTCAAGACGAACCTTTCTGTCACCCCAGAAAGTCCCCAATGCCCCTTTCCTGTCAGCCCTTCCCCAACCAGAGGCAACTGTTTTTCTGATTTCTATCTCTCATAGATTGTTTTGCTTTCATAAATCTGTTTTTGATGTACAGCGTTACCAGAGAGGCTTATGGACACCTTCCAAATTGCTTGTCTGTGCCCTACCTCAGCCTACGCTTTCTTTACAAGCTCACCTTGAGCTTGACAACTGCAGCGCGCCCCCCCCCCCCCAATTAAAGCTCTTTCTGAATATCTCTGGACATTACAGATCTCCGAAGTTGGACTGTTGGAATTTATTTCTGGATTAATTTGCATCTCTTGTAAATCAGATTCTAGCCTAAGGGGTGACGTGTCCCATGGGATTAATGCGACCTGTGTGTCTGTGGGGGTAGATAGGATAACTTAGGAGGCCGTATTTAGCTGCAGCTGCTCCTGTCTTTGTCTGAACACACACTTTCCATTAACATCACCAGGACTTCGCTAGGCCCACGCAGAGAGAAATAGGAACTGGAATGTTTGAAAAAACAACAACAGAAACCTGGGTTCTGGCCCAGAAACACCAAACAGCAGCAGGGGAGGGGGGTGGGGTTCTGTAAGCCGGGCCTGTGCTCTGCAGGAATGGGTTTTCTCGCTCCCCCATAGGTGGTCTGGTTATACTTTTGTTCTGAAATGGACCCATTTGGCTTGAGCTGCAAGTGTGTCCTTTACATCTATCTGATTGGAAGCCGGAGGCAGGAGGGAGTCCATCGATTGCAAAGACGTCTGGGGCTTTGGAGTAGTTTCATAAAGCAGCACCTCTCTGGCTGGATTTAATGATTCCGAGGTCTTTGAATGGAAGTGAACATATTTTTTTGCTGGGTCAACAGTATGAAAATGAAATCCTCAAAGAATTGCCACCACTGTTAACCTTCGGGGAGATGGTGCTCTCTGTGTTTTTTCAGGAATCACTTTAAGAGGAAGGATGACAAGGCATTTTGTAAGAAAAATGAATGCTGGTTCTTGCCTTTATGGATACAAGAGGAGAAATTGAGTGGAAATAGGCTCTTGCTGTGGGTGACACACACGCCAACCCCCCACTAGATTTTGTGAGGTGGGAGACCTGACCTCGGAGCATCAGGAGGCTTTAAATTTTCTCTTTGTTAGTTGGTACTCACACAATTAATACTTCAATATGTTTTCTTTTCTTTTTCTTACCTTTTTTTTAAATTGGGGAATTGGGGAAGGGGAACAGCCAAGTTGTTGTCCTTCAGTCTTAGTTGTGGAGGGTGCAGCTAGCTCAGCTCCAAGTCCAGTCGCCATCTGGCTGCCCTTTGGCAGCTCATGGCAGCTTAGCTCAAGGTGCCGTGTTCAGTCTTAGTTGTGGGTGGGTGTAGCCCACCATCCCACGCGGGAGTCGAACCAGAAACCTTGTTGCTAAGAGTGCACGTTCTAACCGCCGAGCCATCCCGCCGCCTGTTGGCAGCTTGTGGCAGCTCAGCTCAAGGTGCCGTGTTCAATCAGAGTCCAACTGGCAGTCTTGTTGTTTGGAGCACGTGCTCTCACCAGCTGAGCCATCCTGCCACCTGTTGGCAGCTCAGCCGCAGCTCAGCCTGGGGCACAGCGTCACTGGCCCTTGTGGGAATCAAACTGACAACCCTGTTGCTCAGAGCTCACGCTCTTAACCAACTGAACCACTCGGCCAGCCCCTTTAATATGTTTTCTTTATAAACGTTTTAAACTGTACACATAAGACTGAAGCCCCCTTCTGTCCCTGCCCACCCCACGCTGGTCCCTTTCTTGCAGAAGAACCTCACCAGCAATTAAGGAAACTTTTCTAACAGTTTATGGAATGTTTGTCATGTCTATGAATGGTGTTACATTGTACGTTCTGAAAGGTTGGTTTCCCCACTCGGCCCTTTCTCATTTTTTTAACTGTCTCCTGGTGGTCCATTTTTTTTTTAAAATTAAAGTTTATTGGGGTGTCAATTGTTAGCCAAGTTACATAGAATTAAGGTGTACAATTCTGTAATACATCACCTGTATATCACATGATGTGTTCATCACACAGAGTCAGTTCTCTTTCCATCACCATATATTTGATCCCCTTTATCCTCATCCATCATGCCTCTTGCCCCTCCTGGTGGTCCATCTTATCAGCTCCACCCACCCACCCACCTAGGTTTCTCTAGATGCAGAACAGAAGAGCAAGGACCCTGGAGCCAAGTTTCCTGCCTTCACCATTCCTGCTTCTCATCACTGGAACTTTATTACCCAACCACCGCGTGCCTCAGTTTCCCCCTCTGTAGCATGGCGATCTCAGTAATACTGACTTCATACGGCTCATGTCATAGAGTTGTTGTGAGGGGGAAATGCACTGATGGGGGGGAAAGCTCTTCGAATGGCACCCAGCATACGGCGAGTGAGATACAAATGTTAGTGGTCGCCGTCACTCCCCCATTGCCTGTGGGTGGACACGTGGGTGTTTCTATGTTTTTCACCCTCGGAAACCCTGTGGAGGTGGTGAATAGAGGTGTCCTTGTACATGTGTGTGCAAGAGTGTCTCTCCAGGCTCTGTGTGTGTGTGTGTGTGTGTGTGTGTGTGTGTGTGTGAGAGAGAGAGAGAGAGAGAGAGAGACAGACAGACAGACAGACAGACAGACTGATTCAGAGAAGTGGGCTTGGCTGGGGCATTACGTTTGTCATAATTAGCAGGTTCTGCCCTGCCACCCTCTGGCCTTTTCTGTCTCCAGTACCGGAGAGGAAGGTGGGTTTCAGCAGGGTTCACCCCCTCTCCCCTCTCTCCGCAGGGCTTCGTGTTGGCCGTCACCATCATCCGAGAGGCAGTGGAGGAGATCCGATGCTACCTGCGGGACAAGGAAGTCAACTCCCAGGTCTACAGCCGGCTTTCAGTGAGAGGTCAGCCTCCTGGCTCCACTGGGGCTGCCTCCTGCCGCCTGGGCCCCCGGCTGCCCGGTTGCAACTCAATCCTGGGTCCTTGACAGTTAGGGAGCAGAGTTCAAGGCCTGGGGCCAGCGGGTGTGCCTGCTCCACGTGGCAGGACAGTCACTCAGTTGTCAGTACCAGGGAGGCCAACATGAGCCCAGGGCCTGGGGGGACACGGGCTGCGTCTCTGGGCTGCCTCGTCCTCTTAGCCATGTCCCTGTCGGCGCATCATCAAATTAAATTATGTGTTTTTGGCATCCTCTGCTCGCCAATTCCTTACCCTTATCCCGTCTGGCTGAGTATATGCTGCCCCCTTCATGGGGGAGGCTGCAGACTGTGGCACACCAGTTCCCAGGAGCATAGTTTTATAAGATACTCTTTCTATATTACAAAACTGTTAAAACTTTGCAACATTAGTTTCTATTTATATACTTTTTTTTTTTTTAAGGAGGGTGCAGCTCACAGTGGCCCAAGTGGCCAGGATCGAACGAGCAACCTTGGTGTTATTAACACCACACTCTAACCAACTGAGCTAACCAGCCACCCCTATATACTTTTATTTATTTATTTATTTTTAAATTTATTATTATTTTTTTAGCTGAGCCATCCTGCTACCTGTTGGCAGCTCAGCGGCTGCTCAGCTCGGGCTGGACTCAAACCGCTGTTGCTCAGAGCTCAAACTCTTGAGTGAGCTCTTAACCAACTGAGCCACTCGGCCGGCCCCCTATATACTTTTAAATTGTATTATAGTTGACATACAATGTTAGCAGCAGTGGTTTTTAAAAAGATACCAGATTCTCGTGACTACTGCCTCTGTGAAGATTTCTTTGCAGGCATCTTATAAACCTTTGAAACTGAAGTGTAGATATAGTCTTACTTAAAGAGAAGTGACCAGATAACTTTCAGTCATTGAACCCCTTGCAAGACACGTGCGTTTTAAGTGGTGGAATTAAAAAAATCCCACCCAAACACGTGGTTGAGAACCTACAAAACAACCCTTGTTTCCAACTACCAACGCCACTGTAGGGTTCCTGTAAGTTTGTATCCAGAAAGGAAAAACTGTTACCTACAGTTCCTTAAGAGTACCGACCCCATTCAGAGATTAACAATGTTTTAGGACAGGCTGAGGGGAATAAAAACTGTGCCTTGCCCTCAGGAAATTGAGAATTCTGAAAGAGATAATATAGATGCCTTGGAAAACTGGTTCCTGAGCAGAGTGTGAACCGCTTTTGTTAAGTGCATTAGTCTTGCAAAGAAGCCGTCCATCCATGCGTTCAGGGCTTTGAGTAGAATTTTCCTTTTGGGAAAAAATGTGGGAGGAATATGTTTTGGCCTCCAAAGAAATTGACATTTTAACAAAATTCTGTGAGGGCGTGAAAGCATTTTGTTTTAGTGCACTGAATAGATTTTTCATTGTTTGTGGTCTTAAAATTTTACAAGTCTCTGGGAGAAGGGGGGGATTTAGAATTGATATATTGTAGAAATGCTTTATTATTGCTCAACTACTGCATTTAGGACATTTTGCGAACTAAAGAATAGGAACCCAATATAATCGTTGCAGAGGCAAGGTGGCTTGGGCTTTCCACGTGGGTAATCAGAAGACCCCTCTGGAGGGCTTTTTTTTGTGTTTTTTTTTTGTGGTTTGCGTATATTAAATCCTCCCTTAATAACATATTCTGACTATAACATGTAAACTGCTTGGCAACCAACAAAAGCCCATCGGAGAGGGTGCGGTGAATCTATTTAGAGCTCATGAGGAGCGGCCTTCGAATGCCCCCCATTCATCTACCCAAGCACCTACCCTTCTTTGGTTCTTTTCATATTGCAACTGCTCCCCCACACCCCATGAATGATTTTTGTACCCTCCCCTGCAGACCCCCTTCTCAGCTCCTGCTTTAACTCCACTGGATCCTTGAAAAGGTCCTAAGGAGAATTGGCAGATGGCTCTAGCATTAAAAACTGTGTCTTCCTTTGTTGGTCTCCTTCTGTGGCCCCGTGGTTTCCATTGTCATGCCAATGTGACAGTCGGGGCAAGCAGAGCAGAAGTCTGAATATTAACTGAGACCCTAGCCCTGCAATTTGCTTTGAATGTCCCCCCCCCCCCATAAAAAAAGCACTGAAGAAACTGTTACTTGGAAAGGGATTGGAGGCCGAGTTTAGTTATTTGCTGCACTTTGGGAGGAAGGGCCAGAGAGGGGCACAAACTGGAAGGTTTCAGAGACAGGAAGAGAAAGAAGTCTTTTCTGACCTTACCTTATTACTATTTAATGACTTAATAATATTTTCTTGAGGGAGGCACTTCACCAAGCCTTTCATTTAGTGACGTTCAAAAGCAAAATGAAACAAATACAGACATGTAGATCCATGCAGAACTGTTTTCTCTTTGGCCACATGGAATCTTAAAGTGTACTTCTCAGCACTATTTTTGGACTTCAAAAATGTTTAGAAACCCAAATACCAAGTTCTTGATCACTAGAGTATAGGCCATGAGATTTTATCTGTGTTCTGCATCATTTCCTGACTAATAATACAGTATTTTTACTAATATAGTTGTTAAAAAAAGTTTTTGGCCATAATTTCTAACTAGCAAAAAGGTTGCAGAAATTGGGCAGAGAACTCTTGTATGCCTCTCATCCGGACTGTCTCAATTGCTAACATTCTGCCACGTTTGCTTTTTAATATTCTTTCTCTCTAAGCCATTAGAGAATTAAGTTCCAGGCATCAGTCTTCTTTTATCCCTAAATACTTCAGTTTTTAATTTCTAATAGGACATTTCTCTTGCGTAACACAGTACAGTTAGCAAAATTGGGGAATTTAACGTGAGGCGTAACTATTAATCTCATCTACAGTCCTTACTCAGGATTTGCCATTTACCCCTAAAATGTCTTGCAGTAGCATTTTTTTTTTCCTGGTCCAAGAACAAGTCCAGGTTCGTGGCCATTGCATTGGGTTTACCTTTTCCTTCACCTCCTCTCACTGGCATATAGCGCCTCGTTTTTCTTTGTCAAGACATTGACATTTTTTAAAAGGACAGGCCAGTTACTTTGCCGCTTTTCCCTCAATTTGTGTTTGTAGTCTCAAAATGAACAAGCACAGTGCTGGGCTCTTGCCCTGCAAGAGTTACATGTAAGCAACTCTCTTAAGTTAGGTACTATTGTAATCCCTGATTACTGACAGGTTATAACAGGGATCTGCCCCCACAGCAGGGAGGAGGTGGACTCAGGAGCCTGAATCCAGGAGCAGCACAAGCTCAGAACCATTAACTTTCTTCAACTGCCAGGAACTGTGCATTTTTAGCAGGAATGAATACAGTTGTAAGACTGTCAGTGGCACAGATTCTTGTTGTGATATTACCAAAGTTTTAGAGGCATTATTTTAATCAAATTGAAAAAGTTTCAAACTTCAAGAAAAAAGAATCTGATTTTTTGAGCAACTGACCTAAAAGCCCTGATTATAAGGAACTCACCATTGGGAGGAAATATGGATGGGAATGTTTTTAATAGCGGCTTCCAACATTTTAGATCATCTTATTTCATTCACGGTATATCTAAAACAACACAACAGTTAGATTCAATTTTAATGTAATTGCTGTGGTCTAATAAGTATTTGAAGTATTTTAAAAATATAATGAGCCGTATACATGGGAATGACCTTTTATTCGCTCTTTTAAGAATATTTGAGACCCTGTCTCCTCCCAAGACTAGGATAGATTTCGATATTAAAGAGAAACACGAGAGGCTGGGCGTTAGGAAATTCTTAGTCCAGTGAGGCATCCAGGCATGTAAGTAGGTAATTTTGAAAACCTAACTATTGGGTCTTCGGAAAAGCCATAACACGTGTTTGCAACAGATGGCACTAGTTCATTTTTGGAAGTACTAGAGTCCTTTGCATCTATGTTATTGCTATGTCATTTGACAGCTGACAGTTCTAGCTTCATTCTAAAAAAAAAATTGAGCGATTTGGTGGAGTTTTGGAGATTTTACAACAAGTTGAAGATGGAAGACCAAACTATGCATTTTTGCCATATTGTTTTAATTCCATCAAAGGAAGAACACGTGTCAAGCTTGTGAAAAGTTGCATAAAGTTTACGGTGACAATGCTCTACAAGAACGTCAGTGTCAATGATGGTTCGTGAAATTCTGTGCTGGTGATTTTTATCTCAACGACGCTCCTCGGTCAGGGAGGCCCACCGAGGTTGATGACGACAAAATAAAGGCATTGATCCAGTCAAACCCATGTTACATGACACGAGAGATTGCAGGAACATTGAACATCCATCTTTCAAGCGTTCACGACCACCTGAAGAAGCTGGAATACGTAAGCAAGCTTGATATTTGGGTTCTGCATGAACTCAAGTTCATTTGACGGCGTGTATAAACATCTGCAATATGCTCATTAAACGTGAGGAAAACGATCCTTTTTTGAAGCGACTGATAACTGGTGATGAGAAGTGGATTGTTTACAACAATGTGGTGTGCAAACGGTCTTGGTCCCAACGTGATGATTNTTTTGAAGCGACTGATAACTGGTGATGAGAAGTGGATTGTTTACAACAATGTGGTGTGCAAACGGTCTTGGTCCCAACGTGATGATTCGCCTCAAACGACATCGAAAGTAGACATTCATCAGAGGAAGGTTATGCTCTGAGTGTGGTGGGATTTTAAAGGTGTTGTGTTTTTCGAGCTCCTACCAAGGAACCAAACAATCAATTTGAATGTGTACTGTCGGCAATTGGACAGTTTGAGCCAATCCATCATCCAGAAACGTCCAGAGCTTATTAATTATAAAGAAGTTGTATTCCATCACGACAATGCGAGACCACACACAAGTTTGATCACCCGTGGAAAATTATTGGAGCTTGGATGGTAAGTGTTGCCACACCCATCATACTCGCCTGACCTTGCACCGTCAGACTTCCACTTGTTTTGCTCTCTTCAAAACTCCTTGCGTGGTGTAACGTTCAATTCAGATGA